AATTATGAGTTCTGAGTTGAAGTCCCTGTTCTACCGCTTACTCTGTGACTTTGGGCCTGGCAAACCTCATCCCTGAGCCTCAGTTTCCTCACCTGTACAACAGGGCCAGGTCCCAGTTCTTCCCCTTCCTGTCAGGATTGCCAAAGAGTGAGTTATTTTAAACCAAATGTGTCTCTTCTGGAGGAGTTGTCTTGGTCTTGAGTTTCACAATTCGCCTGGACTCCTTGCCAATAGTAAGCAAAGCCAAGTCTTGGTTATTCTCCCTGGTAAGAGAAGGCCCCGCATGAGTTGGACAAGATGTGCTTACATGCCATTAATAGGAGGAATTATTAGAGGAACTCAAATCGATTCATTTTGTTGGTTATTTGCAAACGTATTATGGGCCATCAATAACATTCAGTGCCATTGCAAATGATTCAAATAATTTCTTCCTTGGTAAAAAGATGTGAAAGAAATGTGAGCCTTGAGGTCACAGCATGTTTAGAAGCATTAAATCTGGTTTCCCATCCCAGTCCAGAGGCTTGAATTAGAGCTAAGAAGGGGCAGTAGTGTCTCCTTAGCTGCGTTGTGTTGACAGGTTGTTAAACACCCCCAACCCTGGTGAGACGCCTGAGACATGTTAGGAAAGGGACTGAGAAGGTGAAACTGCCTGTGCCCTCCGAGGTCACAGACTCTTCAGCTTGGTTCCAGGAGAGTTCTGATGGGCCTCAGAGCAGATTTGAGGCTTGAATTCAGAGTGGGTTTCCCAGCGAGGGGTGGGGGCAGCCTCTACCTGGATTTGGATAGGTGTTCTTAGAGGTTCCAGGCAGCAAGCTTTTAAGTAGAGAACAGTGATGACATTTATTAAATCTTGTGTCAATCAGCAATTCCCACAACATTGCTGCTTAGCAAATGCCCCTGAAACTCAGGTCTTAACATAGTAATCACTGATTCTTGCTGATGCACCTGGGGTCGGCCGGGGATTGGCTGCCCCAGGGTGGGCTGGGCTCCAGTCACAGGTTGGGTCCACTTCTGCTCCACTCGTGCCCCCTCCTCCTCGGATCTGCAGGCTAGCCAGGACACATTCTCAGGGTAAGGGAGAAGGGCACCCAGCCATACAAGCATACATCAAGCTTCTGCTTGGCAACTGTCTGCTTCCATCCCACTGGCCAGAGCAAGGCACATGGCTGAACCTAAACTTAAAGGTCGGAGGAGGCCACTGTGCTCCAGCAGGAAAAGCTGCAAAGGGTTCCTTTCAGTTTTTCATAAAACTGAATTTATTTGTTTTAAAACCAGTTTAATATACGTCCTTCCTACTTTTTGGTGTTAAATTGCTATTTCTTTTTCAAGCCGATGGTGGTGAGGGCGGGATGAAGGACTGATGCCAGTAATTCCACCTTCCACACTGTGCCATGTGCTTCTCGCATGTCTTGCCTCTGCCTCCTTACTACAGCCTTGGGAAGAAGGTATGCTGCTGTGTGGCTGCAGAGATAGCACAGGGCAGGGGTGGAGAGGGCAGGCTTGCAAGCCAGACTGGCTGCATTTGAAACCTTGCTTTTTAATCTTCTAGCTGTGTGACTCTGAGCAAATCACTTAAACGCTCTGTGCCTCAGTTTCCCACTCAGTAAAACAGGGATAATAGCAGCTCTCTAATAGGGTAATTGTGAGGAATAAGTGAGTATGTGTGTGCCTAACTCACAGTTTACTCTCTATAAGTGTTGGTTACTATCATCCCCATTTTAAAGATGAGGAAACTGAGGCTCAGAATGATTTAGGGACTCTCTTAAGGTCACACAGCTAGTAAGTGGCAAATCAAGGACGTGAGCCTGGGCAGACTTGACACTCCTCTTCACTGTACCCTGCTGTCTTCCTTTCTCTGGTGAGCCTCAGCCTCCCGGAGACCTCCCCATGCAGTGTCATAGGTTTATGCTGGGAATTTTGTAAGCCATGAGGCTATGGTGGAATAATGCTGCTCAACAGCCCACACCAGTGCCTGGCACACTGGAGCAATTCAGGGGGTTGGGAGGACACAGAAAGCTATCAGCTTCTCGCCCTTCCTTGCAACTGACAACCCAGGCCCTTTGTTTTCATGACTAGTCCAAGGAGAGTAGATGCAGCACAGGTGAAGCCTCTGCTTCTAGGGACTTGGCTTGCATAAAACTGGAGCCATGGACAAGGCAAAGGAGCCCCTCTATAATGGGAACACAGAGGCAGAGTGATTTGTAGAGTGTATGTGGCCATGTGCTAGCTCCTCTGAGTGCACACTGCCATCCTGGTGGGCTAGGAGGGGGAACCTGAGAACGAAATGAACCCCCAGCATGATGGCTGCTCAAGTCCTGCACAAGGCTAGAGCTGACACAGCCCATTACCTGGTTGTTTCACCAAAGTTTTCCATTGGTTCTAGGAGATGAACCAATTTTCTTATGATTTCCCAAACCTAAGACTTATTTAGCTAATGATAATCTTGGGTTTTCCCCTGCCCTCTGGTGTTTATTCCTCTTGTGTCTCTGTCTTATCTTATTGTACTGGCTAAAACTTTCAGAACAATTTTCAGTGATAACATTAATAATAGGTTTCCTTGACATGTTCTTGACATTAACAGGAACTCTCCAAGTATCTCACCAATTAAGTACGGTATTAACTTTAGATGTAGCATCAATATAAGAACAAGGAAGTATACTTCAATTCTAATTTACTAAGAGGTGTCATAAGGAATTAATATTGAATTTTAGCCAATGCCTTTTCCACATATCTTATATAATCATGTAATTTTCCTCCTTTGATACATTAATAAGATGTGCTGAACAATGCTTTAATATTGAACCATCCTTGCATACCTAGAATGAAACTTATTTGGTCATGGTACATTATTCTTTCTGTAATATTGCCCAATCATTATGATAGTAGACTTTTTATATCTATATTAACAAATCATGAGATTAGTTTTTGATTTTTTTTGTGCTGCCTTTGTTAAGTTTTTAGATCAGGATTATGCTAGCTTGGAAAAATGAATTGGGAAGACTTCTTTAGTTTTATATATCCTGGAACAATTTAATAACAGAGGTATGTGTCTCTTGAAGGTTTAAAAGAACTTGCCAAAAAAGAATAACAAACAAAAACTTTCCCAAGAAACTAAACGGATGAGGCACTTATTTAAAAAAAACAAAACCGTATTCTATTTCTTCTAAGATTATTGGGATGTTAGTATTCTCTGCCTCTTCTTGAATTACTATTGGAAATTCTTGTTTTCCTAGAAAATTGTACCTTGAGATTTCTATGTTTATTTGTGTGGAGCATATTTCTTTATATCTTTAAATATCATCTCTGGTTACATTATTTGTTCATTCCTTATTTTGATTATCTGTGCCTTTTTTTGCATCTTGATAGATCTGTGTATTTTATTGGTCTTTTCAAATAAAAATTATTGGGTGATGTACTGTTGTCTGCTTTTCTGTTTCCTAATTCATTCTTTTCTTTTTTTTGAATGGAGTCTCTCTTTGTTGCCCAGGCTGGAGTGCAGTGACACCATCTCAGCTCACTGCAACCTCTGCCTCCCAGGTTCAAGCGATTCTCCTGCCTCAGCCTCCCGAGTAGTTGGGATTACAGGCATGCGCCGCCATGCCCAGCTAATTTACGTATATTTTTCAGTAGAGACAGAGTTTCACTGTGTTGGCCACACTGGCCTGGAATTCCTGACCTCAGCCTTTCAAAGTGCTGAGATTACAGGTGTGAGCCACTGCAGCTGCCCCTAATTCATTCTTTTCTGCTTTTATTTTGTTGATTCCTTCCTCCTTCTTTTCCTGGGTTCATTTTATTGGTTTTTATCTGGCTTCTTGAGTTGAGTGCTTTGGTGAGGCACTGATCTTCTAAACCTTTGCTCTAGGGATCCAGGTTTTAAAACATGTGTAACAGCAGCAGAAACTGTTGGGTTTCAGAAATGAGCCAGAGAGCAATGCCTCATTGGAGGAAGGATCCACTCCCAGGAGGCGGGAGACTGACTCTCAGTCCCAGCCTTGCCTCAGGTCAGCCGAGTATCGTTGGGCAAGTCCCCTCCCTCTTAGCATCCTCTTATCCAATGAAGGCAGCCAGGCAGGGTGTGAGCATTTGTACCAGGCAGGCTTCTACTGGGATAATGCCCCTCATCTTTAGGAGGCAGATTTGGCAGCACCCCCTTATGTATTCTTGGCCTCTACCCCGACATGCACACCCATCAAAACTGTGCAATTGAATTTTCTTTTGCACGATGGAACCAATCAGCAATGGTGACTGTGTCCCAGCTGAGAGACATGTGGAGACTCTGGACTCATGATCAGAAGCACAGTGGCCTGCATTCGCCCGTGGGAGTGTGCAGGCCCTGAGGGCCGAGGCCTTAACCTCCATCTCCCAGCACCAGAACAGTGTTTGGTACTGGGAGGTGCTTTCTGCATCTTTGCTGAATGAATAAACAGCTCTAGGCCAAAAGAGGAAGAATTCTGTACTAGACCAGATGTGGGACTATAGGGTTTGAGGCAGATATGCCCCCTCTTCACTATGGGGGGGCTACTGAGGAGAGGAGGAGGGAGGCATTTGAGGTGGTCTTTGAAGGCAGGTGGTGGCGGGCTGTGTGCAGTTGGAGGAAGGGGGACTTTGTGCAGAGGACGTAGCAGAAGCAACAGTGTGGAGGTGGAGTGGTCCCAGGCATTCTTGGGGAGTAGAGTAGGGAGAGCTGGCTGGAGTGTGCTGGCACCTGCACTGCCCCACCTCCCCAAACAGGAGGTTCCAATTTCCCAGGGACAGGCCACAGCTCTGACTCTGTTCTTGCTGAGTGGAGCCAGGGTGGCTGGAGATGTGTGTGCATGTGTGTGTATTTGTGTGTGTATGTGTGTTTGTGAGAGCGCATGTGAGCGACAGGGGGGAGCTGGGGGCACATTGCCATTCAGCGTCCAAACGTGACAAATGTGCAGAAGCGTGCAGGGAGCTGTGGACATGAGCGGCTGGCCGCAGAGATGCTCACCCTGTGATTTGTTGCTTTGATTCCTCAGGCCGTGACTTGGCGAGCACGACCCTCCCCGGGTACCCTCCACACGTCCCCCCCGCTGGACAGGGCAGCTACTCAGCGCCGACGCTGACAGGGATGGTGCCTGGTGAGTTTGCACTGTCGGCGTCTCCGCAGCAGGCAGCGGATGGGGTTTCGGTGGGGGGGCATCCCCCCAAACAGCCTGGGTGACCTCTACGCTTCTGAGAAGCAGACCTGAATAAATCAGGCAGAGGTCTGCGCTCTCTGCAGCTGGGCCTGCAGTGGGCCCTGGACCAGCCAGCAGCCGTACCAGGGAGGACACTGGGGGCAGGGGGGAGGGTCTTTGACTGTCACTCAAACAGCGCCTCCTTGGCCACACGGGGAGTCTGAACAAAGAGGGTGCAGGGGCTGGCTTCAGGTCACCCTGCCAGTGTGGAGCAGGCCTTCTCCCCAAGCTTCCCTCCCTCCTGGCCCCCACCCTCTCTCTCCCACACAGTCGTGTGACATGAGCAAGTAGAAGGCTCTAGGGTGCTCTCGGTGGCCTTACTCCTTGGGGTTGGGAATATTGGATGGTGGAGTTGTCACTTGATTCTAAACAGAACACCCTGTGGCCACTGGAACCTGATCGCCCCTGGTGTTGGGGAAAGTGGGGCTGGCTGCCTGGGTGTTAAGGGCATTCCCACAGCAAAAATACCCAAAGTATTCTTTTCTGAAAGATGTTTCTAAAAATCAGGGGAAATAATCAGACCTCGATTGGAAGTTGTTACATTTCTTTAATGAGTTAGCATTGTCTCCTTTTAAAAATTATTTCTAAAAATTTTTATTTAATTTAATTTTTAATAGACTAATAATTCAGTTTATCTGTGAGGTACAGTGTGGTGTTTCGACAGTGTGTAATTGTGGAATGATCAAATCAGGCTAATTCACATACCCATCACCTCAAATGTTTATCATTTCTTTGTAGTGAGAACTGTTAAAAACCTCTCTTCTAGCTGTTGGAAATATGCAATGCGTTATTAACTCTAGTCACCATGCTGTCTCTTAGGTAGAGTCATTTGCAGGGGCCACACAGCTGGTTTCAGGGCCTGGTCTCCAAGGGCTGTATCTCCTCCTAACACACACTCTTGACTCTCTCTGGCACTTAGGCTGGGCACAGTGGCTCATGCCTGAAATCCCAGCACCAGGGGAGGGGGAGGTGGGCAGATCACTTGGGACAAGGAGTTCAAGACCAGCCTGGCCAACATGACAAAACCCTGTCTCTACTAAAATATATATATATATATATATATACACATACACATACACACACACACACACACACACAAACACACACACACAAATGAGCTGGGCATAGTGGCACATGCCTGTAATCCCAGGTACTTGGGAGGCTAAGGCACAAGAATTGTTTGAACCCGGAAAGCAGAGGTTACAGTGAACTGAGATCATGCCACTGCACTCCAGCCTGGGTGACAGAGCGAGACTCTGTCTCAAAAGATAGTAATAATAGTAATGAAATAAATAAATAAATAAGGGAGCCACCTCTTAGAGGGCCCCACTCCAGACCTGCTGAAGCCGTGCCCCTGTCTCCCGTACACTGGGGAGAGCCTACAGGGCCAAGGGGACAGCTCACACCCCTCTTACTAGCTCACACTGGAGTCTTACCCAAATAGGTCCAAGCCTCTTCCCCAGGGCCATCCTCCTAAAGCCAGTCCATGTCACTGGTGTGTGCAGCCCTGGGCCTGGGGCTGGCTCTTTGTCGGGAGTGTGGATGGAGGTGGACATGAGGGCTGGGTGTCCACACATGCATGTACAAGGCCCCGCGTGGTGATGAGGAGCCCGGCATGGAGAGCTCAGCAGGATGGATCCTAGCCAGGGGGGCTCCCGCCACAGCCATGTCCTGGCACAGAACGCCAAGGAGGCCCAAAATTCCACATTTGATCCTAGCCTTCCAGGTTGTTTCAAAGATGTATTTAACAAGGTAGGAGGATGGAACATATTTCATTTAACAGTTTGCTAGCTCCATTGATGACTTTTAAATATGAGACACGTGGAAAATGGCCTCCGTGTGTATTCTTGTCCTGGGCCTTGCCAATGCCGGGGAGACCTGCCAGGTTCCACCTGCAAAACCTTGGTCTTTCTGCTGTGAGGATGGACCCATGGCAGATCACAGAGGTGGTGGGACACACACCATCCTTCCCCTTGCCCCCAACCCTGGCTCCTCATTTTCCAACCTTTAGCAAGTCCTGGTGTCCTTGGGAGATGGATCTCAAGCCGTGTCCGTGAATAGCCTATCATATTTATGTAGGGCCTTATAGAACACAGACTTACCCTGAGTCCCATGATGCAACAGCCTCACAAGGTGGGCAGGGTCAGGAGAGTAATCCCTGTTTTCCAAAAGGACCAGAGAAGACCCAGAGAAGCCACGGAATCTCTGGGGGCGATGCAGCTTGCAGGTGGAGGACATGAACCCTGGTCTTTGGCCCCTTCTACCTCCCTCCCAGCACTCCCCACACCCGGGAGCACTTCTTCCTCTGCACTGGGCTTCCTGGGTGTGCTCTCTGATTCAGTCAACTCTAGCTTATCTGTCATGGCAGAGGGGCAGGGACAGGCCTGGAACCTGTTCTGAGAACAAGTCAGTGGTGAAGCTGAGGCTACTGGGCTGGTCCTCTCAGCTCCCCACTGGAAACCCCAGAGGCGGAGTTCAGAGAAGCAGCTGAACTTTGCCAAGTTTATCCAAATAGAGCCTGCCCACTGGCCCCCAGGATTTCTCCATCCCTCATTACCAGGCTCAAGACACACATGGGTGCAGGCCTGGCAGAGCCTCCAGTGGGAACCGATGGTGACTCCTTGCCCATTAATGGGGCAGCAGGAATCATAGGCCTGAGCAGGGCACAGCCTCGCCAACCTGGCAGCAGCTGGACAGGGGTGACCCCGGGGCCCCATGGGACTCTGTCCTTGGGCACAGAGGAGGTTGCACAGTGTGGAGGGAGGAAAACAAGCGTTTCAGCAGAGGAGCCTGCTGCCCGGGAGCCCATGACTCTTCCTTCCCTCTCTCCCTACATTCTTTCCTCCTGCCTCCTCTTCTCCCATCTTCCTCTTGCCCTGGCCTCCTTGCTGTCTTTTCTCTTACATCCCCCAGCACTTATGTAGTGCCAGGCCTGGCATCAGAGCTGGGATTCCAAGCTCAGCTGCACAGCCCTTAGTTCCAGCTTCTCAATGGCCAAACAGGGTCAGGTCTTTGGGACTCTTGTTTCCAAGAAAATTTCCAAATCTGTTTCTTGGGTGGCCTGTGCACACTGTTTTTGCAGACATTGCCCCCGACACTGTCCCACAGAACAGAGAGAGCCCACCTTTCAGCAGAGCAGGGGCCCTCACCCTGGTTGGCCTCAACTTGCCTTTCTGGCCTCTTCTCCCAGGCTCCCCGTCCCTGACCGCTCTCTGGTGCCCAGCACACCTTGGACTCCTACCCATCAGTTCCTTCATCATTCTTGGATGGCTTCCCACTTTGACCTGTCAGAATCCAGCTTTACTCTTCAGGGCTGAGCACAAACCTCCCTGCTCAGAGAAAGCTTCCCAGATGGCCCCCTCTGGTGGAAGATGCCTGTGCCTGGCTCTGCTGCAACATGGCCCAGCGGGTTGAAGGCAGTCAGTTATGCCACGTCCATCACTCTCACTGGGACCTTATCAGTCTCTGCACCCTTCATGGCCTTCCTCCCTTAGCCAACATTCACAAAGAGAACACACATCAAGTCCTCTTTGAGAATGCTGGCTAAGGGAGAAAGGCCAGGGAAACTATACTGACCTGTGTGTTAGTTTACTATGGCTACTGTAACAAATTCCCCAAAACCTGATGCTTAAAACCACAGAACTGTGTTCTTTCACAGTTCTGGAGCACAGGAATCTGAAGTCAGTATCATTGGGCCAAAATCAAGGTGTCGGCAGGGCTGTGCTCCCTCTGGCGGCCCTGGGGAGCCATTCCTTCCTCTCCAGCTTTTGTGGCTCCCGGCATTCCCTGGCTGCAGTCGCATTGCTCCAGTGCAGGAGCCTTCAGTGTTCCCCTGCTCCATCTTCACGTCGCCTACAAATCTGCCTCTTCTCTCTCATACTCTCTCATATGGATACGTACGCATTTAGGTCCTACCTGGAGGATCTGGAATGATCTCCCTATCGCAAGATCCTTAATCAGTCACATCTGCAAAGACCCTTTTCTCCTTTCACCGGGAGTCACATTCACAGGTTGCATATAAGAAGCTTTCCCATATCAGGCTCCAGGGAGTAGGATGTGGATATACCACAGCCCGCTGGAGAACTTCAACTTAGTGTTTGTTCAGATTCTGATTCATAACCTCTTGGGCATCCGAATCCAGGAGGCATTCATTGAATTGTGATGGTGCTGAAGGCGATGATGCCATTCACTGACCCCCGAGGGCCTGTTGGCATGTTTGGAGGAAGAAGTGGAGCAAGGCTCCGGGACACCTGTGTCTCTCATGTTTGTCTCTCGCTGCAATGGTCTGTTTTGCTACGAGGTCCCTTTCACTCCCTCCTGGCCTCTGGTGGGCTGATGGTGCAATCTAAAGGGAAACCCAAAATCTCTGGGGTGTTTCCCACTGCAGGCTTTAGAAAACATTTAGCTGCCACTACTTTCACTTCTTTTTCTTTTCTTTTCTTTTTTTGAGGCAGGGTCTCACTCTGGCTGTCGCCCAGGCTGAAATGCAGTGGCATGATCTTGGCTCACTGCAGCCTTGACTTCTTGAGCTCAGGTGATCCTCTCACTTCAGCCTCCTGAGTAGCTGGGACTACAGGCACCTGCCAACATGCCATCTAATTTTTGTATTTTTTGTAGAGACCGGTTTTGCCATGTTTTCCAGGCTGGTCTCCAACTCCTGAGCTCAAGCAATCCTCCTGCCTCAGCCTCCCAAAGTGCTGGAATTACAGGTGTGAGCCACCGTGCCCAGCCACCACTTCATTTCTAAGTGAAGTCTTTTATTGTCAACGTGCTTGGAGGACAAACAGAGGAAGGCACACAGGCCTCCAGACTATGCTTCCACAGCTGCACTTTGGGGCCTGAAAAAGTGGACGTCACATTTTTCTGTATTAAATGTCAGCCTGTTAGCTTGGACTCATGTT